AGTTACTGTTTTAGTTTCTAGTCTTAGAATCAGAGAAAAGAACACGCCCTTAGCATCTGCCTGCCTTTGGTGAAGGATACTGTTGTGTTGTGTGCTCTACAAACATTATGGGTACTTCTAATATGGCCCCGTTCGCTTCGCTGAAAAAACAAACCGAAACACTGTTCCGACTGATTTGTTGTAAGAGAAAAACACTGTTCCAGCTTAAAAAAACAAGCTAAAAAATACGGATTATAAGACCAATATATAATTAAGCATGCATGGCCGCGCTATTCTTATACTTCACCAACCGTACAATGTTTAAGCTCGATCAATCATCGCACAAAGTAACGATACTACACACATTCGGCCCAAAACTTCCGGGCATGGTATTTTCACTCCAATTTTATATTTTTACCCTCTACTACTAGTAACTCAGTTGAAAAAAGTGGTCAGGTACACTCTGCTGGCTCTGGCTGGCTGTTGAGGTTTCTCAGGGTCATGGCTCATGCAAGCTTTGCTTTGCTTGTCATGCCATGTATTTATATCTCCACCATGAAGACTTTCTTGCCTCTCTTCCTCCAGTGCTCTGGCTCGTCCGGCTTTGTCTCTCTGCGGCATCCATTCTGCCGCGCACCATGCAGACAGCGCGCATCAAAATAAGCTCAAAACAGCAGTTCGTCATGCTTATATAGTAATTTACTCGGTTCAAGGAAGCAGAGATGAGTGTTTTTACGATGATCGAATAGATCTCTCTCTCTCTCTCTCTCTGCTTGTTGGTTTTCTTGGATTCATCTAGAGGTGGCCCACAATAAGCTGAGGCCTGTCTGAAGGCATGATTTGCCTTGATTTCTACACCTAGTCTCAGGACAGTTGACACAGTTTGCACTTTTTGTACGTACACTCGAGTGCTTCATCAGCTGGTACTACGATAGGGTAATGTGATGGGTAACCTTTACTTAAACCCCATGGTATATGACCTATGCGGTCTTAGAACAAGCTCAATAAAATTTAGCTATAAGCTAAAACAAGTCATCCACGAACAAGTTTATAGCCTGATTCATACAACAACTATAAGCTAAAACAAGTCATCCACAAACAAGTTTATAGCCTGATTCACACAACAACTAGTCTCTTATTTTAGTCCAAATACTATTTATTTATATTTTTTTGAGGGATACTATTTGTTTATATTTATATGGGACCCATTCAGCGGCAGAGCCTGACGTAAAACAATGGAGGATGAAACTGATTGGATAATGGATGACCTGATGACTGGATTAGTTATCCAATCCCTCCCTATCATTAAATGATTAGCTAAAGCAACGTACGGACAATGCTTATTTGGATCAAATTAAAAGTTGCAACTAACATTTTTTTACTGCACTTTGCTAGCTGCCTTGTGTCTTGGTTTCAGAAGGATCTCCTAGCTTGTTCGCCATGCATGAAACTATGAAAAACTTTAGCTCTTCTTCGATCTGTAGAGCTGACTTGTTTGGACGCGCGGTTTGTGTCGTCTTTGCTCTGCTGCCGCATTCATTTTGCCGCGCGCCACCAAGACAGTGCGCATCAGATAAGCTCAAATGGAAGTTGTGGCAATGTTTTTTGTTATTTACTAAATCCGTTCCAAATTACAGTTCGTTTGACTTTTTTAATCTCAAGTTTGACCACTCGTCTTATTCAAAAATTTATGCAAAATATCACTTGTTTTGTTGCGGCTTGTTTTATTAACAAAAGTTCTTCGAGAATGACTTAAATTTGACTATGTTGGCAGGAATTTTTTGAATAAGACGAGTAATTAAACTTGGGGTTAAAAAAGTCAAACGAACTATAATTTGAAACGAAGGGAGTACTTGATTCAAGCAAAAGAAGGTAAAATGGATCGATGAAATGATAAATATCTCTGCTGAGTTGCAAGACATGATTTGCCTTGGTTGCTTCACCCAGGCCAGAACGCTTCGAGAGAGAGGCAGGGGCACATGACAGGGTTTGGTACACTCGAGTGCTTCATATCTGGCAATGCTGGTGAGATGAGTAACTTTTACTTAAACCTACGATATATACCTAGGATATATACATTCTTATAGTACGTAGTATGAGATCGTGCATGCAGGTCATAGGTTGAATCTGATAGTGAAAATTAGGAGCAGAGGTCAATATCTATATATATTCCACGAGTAAGGGGATCATATATGATATATTTTTTTTGAACGAACCGACACGAGAAGTTGTCCATTTTTATTGGTAAATAAAGAAAAAGTTACAACCCCTAAGGGCAAAGGAAAAAAAAACAGGGATCATGTACAGCATATTTGTGGAGAACAAGTAGCCGATGGAGAACTCAAACTTTAAGCTATGACAGCAAACAAAGTGTCCAAAATTCAGAGAGGGCCGGGAAGGGCAGCAACAGAAAGAGCTTTGACACATCGTCGCTCGCTTTCGCGCAGGTTGCCGTCCCCAGTAGCCACTGGGATGCATGGGAATCTGCACGAGAGGGCCCGGGCCGGGGCTGTCCATGGAGCAATTGAGCATGAGCAGACACGCTCACTCAGCCGAGCAGGTGATGCATGCATCAAAGTTACAAAAAGAACACGGCAGGCAAGGCAGCAGGCCCGTCTGGAGGAGGAAGAAGGATATCAACGTCTTGGCACTGGCAGCAGGCTCATGCTCATCGAGTGCACTCCTTCCCCCTGCCTCACTCACTCCAAAGCATGCAATCCGAGCAGCCGGCGCGGCACCACCCCTCTCTCACTGACACCGTGGGCCCGTGCACATACATACACACGCCACACCGTCCGTTCACCAGCCAGCGACCCTTTAGTTTGTCCGTTAGCTGTAGCTCTTTTGAGAAAGGGAAAAAAAAGCGAGGTGTATAGCTAGATCGTCGTCTGGAATATATGGAAGGAAAGTGAAAGAGACAAATGCCGGGCAAAAGAGATTTCTATGTTGCCTTGGTGTCGCGTACAGCAAACACAATAACACACGCACTGTTCAACATGGTGCCACAAAGTCCACAAAAAGGCTAAAGGCCATGAGTCCCTCATCCTTGTTACTTTTGTCTCTTGCAGCTTCGTATTGTAAATTCTTGGTGGGAAATGTGGGTATAAAATCTTACTGCTATTTTCAGTGCTCTTCGTCTCGAATTTAGATGTTCCTTTTTTTCTTACTCATTTTTCCCTAAAAAACGTCATTCTTGCTTTTTAAGGAGTCAATTAGCCCTAAATTGATCAAATATATACAAGAAATACTATACTAATATTATTTATGATGTCTTTAGATATATAAATAATATAATTTATTATTATATAACAAACACTTTTAGTGATACAAATGTTGATACTATTTTGTATAAATCTCATCAACATTAAGAAACTTTGACTTACTCCAAACCTAGCATAATATGTTTTTTTGGGATGGAATGAGTATTGCAAAGGATAAATGCCCTGTTCGCTTGGCTGATAAGCCATGACTGAAAGTATTGTTGGCTGATTTATTGTGAGAGAAAAATATTGTTCGTTAGCTGAAAAAGTACGGCTTATAAGCCAAGCGAATGTAACCTCTAGCTTGCACAGTAGTGCATTTTTTTAATCTTGAACCACGAAACCGGGTACCCAATGCCCTCCGAGTATTGCAACTACGCAAATTTGGTCCTCTAGCTGATTTCAAGTGTAGCTTTCTATTTTCAAAAAATAATTAAAATCTAGCTTCATAGCTAAAAAAACATAACTGATTTATTTTACATCAGATAAATATGAAATTAGTATTATTTATTTTAAAATGCTATCTATTTGTTGGTGAATATATTTAGATTTATTTGAAACTTACTTTTTTATATATTATTTTATTACTCGACATTAAGAACATTGTTAACAAATAAGATTTAAGTAACTATAAACAAATCACCAATAGATAGATAGTATTTTTTTTTAAATGATATTGGTTTCATTTTTTTTATTTCAAATAAATCACTTATAAGTTTTTAGAGATTAAATTGGGTTTTTATTATTCTTAGAAAATATAAAACCACCCCTGAAACTAGTTAGATGAGTAAACTTGTCTAGTTTCAACCATTGAAGGGTGTTCGGTACTTCAGTTATATAGTTCATTGGTGGAAATTGAACTAGCGTGTAAATTGAAAGTTGAAATATACTTAGCGGTTTCCCCTATTTAAACAGAAATGTTATTTAAAAATACCGCTTAACTTACCCATAGTACTTCCTCTATCTAGAAAAGAATGCAATTATGGTAAACGTGCCAGTCAACAAGCCCAATTTTGACCAAGTTTATAGTAAATAGTATTAGCATTTATGTCTTGAAATAAATTTATTATAAAAATATATTCTATAACCAATCTAATGATACTTATTTTATCTCACGAAGGTTGGTACATTTTCGTATAATTTTACTCAAAGTTGAAACTATTTGACTTCTCGAAACGTGAGAATTGCATTCTTTGGTGGAGGGAGGAAGTAGATTAGTAGTGGTGAAAGTCTTTACTTTAGTGTCTGAACTAAATTCAGTTCCTCTTTGAAAAACGTTCAGACACCTAGCACCTGGAAAACAAGGGAACACAGAGTGGTAGTAGTGGTAGCTGTGATGAGAGGCAATAGGCATGTGCATGCACCGCACAACCAAAAAGCCTAGCCGCCATTGCCGCCGCCGGCACTGCAATGGTGAGAAGAGAAAAGCTTTTGAAGCCATCCAGTCCACCAGCAAAGTCTCGCGCCACTCGTCCACTCTTGCAGCGCCCGGCCCGACCAGACCACCACCGCCATCATCACCTCCTCCTCCACCGCACCGCACCACCATCCCTCCCTCCCTCCCCTGGCCCTGCCCCTGAGCGCGCGCTCTCCGCTCCACAGTTCACTCCTCATGTCGTCCACCACCACCACCACCTCCTCCTCGTCCTCCATCATGACCTTCGCCAGTGCGTCACCACCTTTCTCCTCTCCATTTTACCACCCGCGCCCTCTACCTCTCCTCCATGCCACCACCACCGCCACCTCCGCGCCTCCGCCAGCATGGCCGCCACCACGGACACCTCCTCCTGGCCGCCGCCGTTAGTACTCCCTCTCCACGGCAGCCTCCTGCTCCTGCTGCCTCTCCTGGCCATCACCACTGCCGCGTCCTCAGCTCCACTGCCCCTCCTCGCGCTGCTCTCCCTCAAGTCCTCCCTACACGACCCGTCCAGCGCGCTCCGCCCCTGGACGTACGCGTCCACGGCGTCCGCGGGCGCGACGCGTTCTCTGGAGCCGCCGTGGTGCGCGTGGCCGGGCGTGTCCTGCGACCCGGCCACGGGGGACATCGCCGGGCTCGACCTCTCCCGCCGCAACCTCTCCGGCACATTCTCCGACACCGCGGCCAGGCTGCTGGCGCCTACGCTGACGTCGCTCAACCTCAGCGCGAACGCGTTCGCGGGGGAGTTCCCGGCCGCGGCGGTGTTCCAGCTCCGGCGGCTGGAGTCGCTCGACGTCAGCCACAACTTCTTCAACGGCACGTTCCCCGACGGCGTCGCGGCCCTCGGCGGCGCGCTCGCCGTGCTCGATGCGTACAGCAACTGCTTCGTCGGCCCGCTGCCGCGCGGCCTCAGCGAGCTGCGTCGGCTCCAGCGGCTCAACCTCGGCGGCAGCTTCTTCAACGGGAGCGTCCCGCCTGAGATCGGGCAGCTCCGCTCGCTGCGGTTCCTGCACCTCGCCGGGAACGCGCTAACCGGGCGGCTCCCGGCGGAGCTCGGCGCCCTCGCGTCGCTCGAGCAGCTCGAGATCGGGTACAATGCCTACGACGGCGGCGTTCCCGCAGAGCTCGGCAACCTGACGCGGCTCCAGTACCTCGACATCGCCGTCGCCAACCTGTCCGGCCCGCTGCCGCCGGAGCTCGGCAATCTCGCGCGGCTCGAGAAGCTGTTCCTGTTCAAGAACCGGCTCGCCGGTGCCATACCGCCGCGGTGGTCCCGCCTCCGAGCGCTGCAGGCTATCGATCTGTCCGACAACCTGCTCGCCAGCGCCATCCCGGCGGGGCTCGGTGAACTCGCCAACCTCACGATGCTGAACCTCATGAGCAACTTCCTTTCCGGCACGATCCCGGCGGCGATCGGCGCGCTGCCGAGCCTTGAGGTGCTGCAGCTCTGGAACAACTCCCTCACCGGACGGCTGCCGGAGTCGCTGGGCGCGAGCGGGCGGCTCGTCCGGGTGGACGTGTCGACCAACTCCCTGTCCGGCCCGATTCCTCCCGGGATGTGCACCGGCAACCGTCTCGCCCGCCTCATCCTCTTCGACAACCGCTTCGAGTCGGCCATCCCGGCGAGCCTCGCCACCTGCTCGTCGCTCTGGCGAGTCCGGCTGGAATCCAACCGCCTGTCCGGCGAGATCCCGGTCGGGTTCGGCGTGATCCGCAATCTGACATACCTGGACCTGAGCTCCAACTCGCTCACCGGCGGCATTCCTTCTGATCTCGTGGCTTCTCCGAGCCTCGAGTACATCAACATCTCCGGCAACCCCATCGGCGGCGCGCTCCCGAACGTGTCGTGGCAGGCGCCGAACCTGCAGGTGTTCGCGGCGAGCAAGTGCGCCCTGGGCGGCGAGGTCCCGGCGTTTGGTGCCACGGGGTGTTCGAATCTGTACCGGTTGGAGTTGGCAGGGAATGACCTCACCGGTGCAATCCCCAGTGACATCAGCACCTGCAAGCGGCTGGTGAGCTTGAGGCTGCAGCACAATCAGCTCACCGGCGAGATCCCGGCAGAGCTCGCCGCCTTGCCGTCCATCACCGAGATCGACCTGTCCTGGAACGAGCTCACCGGCGTCGTCCCGCCGGGCTTCACCAACTGCACCACGCTGGAGACTTTCGACGTGTCCTTCAACCATTTGGTGACCGCTGGCTCGCCGTCGGCGTCGTCACCAGGCGCCGGCGCGGTGACCTCAGCTCGGCGCACCGCGGAGATGTGGGTTTCCGCTGTGGCGGTGGCCTTCGCGGGGATGGCGGTGCTCGCCGTCACCGCTCGCTGGCTGCAGTGGCGCGAGGACGGCACCGACGCGCCGGGCCGCGGTAGCGGGGGCGGCGCACGCACACGACCCAACGTGGTCGTCGGGCCGTGGGGGATGACCGCGTTCCAGAGGCTCGACTTCACTGCCGACGACGTGGCGCGGTGCGTCGAGGGGAGCGACGGTATCATCGGCGCCGGGTCGTCCGGGACGGTGTACCGCGCGAAGATGCCCAACAGCGAGGTCATCGCGGTGAAGAAGCTGTGGCGCCAACCGTCGGCGCAGAAGGAGGGAGGCGCTCCGGCGGCGGAGCCACCGAAGCGGCGGAAGGAGACAGCTGACGCGGACGGCAACGGCGGCAACAGGAGCATGCTCGCCGAGGTGGAGGTGCTGGGGCACCTCAGGCACCGCAACATTGTCCGGCTGCTGGGGTGGTGCACCGATGGCGAGGCGACGCTGCTGCTCTACGAGTACATGCCCAACGGCAGCCTGGACGACCTCCTGCACGGCGCCGAGGGCAGGGCGGGGCTGGACTGGGACGCGCGGCACCGGATCGCCGTGGGCGTGGCGCAGGGCGTGAGCTACCTGCACCACGACTGCGTGCCGGCGGTCGCGCACCGCGACCTCAAGCCCAGCAACATCCTGCTCGACGCCGACATGGAGGCGCGCGTGGCCGACTTCGGCGTTGCCAAGGCGCTCCACGGCGCCGCGCCCATGTCCGTCATCGCCGGCTCCTACGGCTATATCGCACCAGGTATGCCTCGTTCGTCGGTCGTCGCGACATGGACATTTGTCACGTACCTACGATTGGCTAATGATGGTCCGTGTGAATATATAATCGATGCAGAGTACACGTACACTCTGCAAGTAGACGAGAAGAGCGACGTGTACAGCTTCGGCGTGGTGCTCCTGGAGATCCTGACCGGCCGGAGGTCCGTGGAGGCGGAGTACGGCGAGGGGAGCAACATCGTGGACTGGGTGAGGCGCAAGGTCGCGGCCGCCACCGCCGGCGACGTGATGGACGCGGCGGCGTGGGCGGCGGACCAGCAGGCCGGCGGCAAGGCGGCGCGGGACGAGATGGCGCTGGCGCTGCGGGTGGCGCTGCTCTGCACCAGCCGGTGCCCGCAGGAGCGCCCGCCGATGAGGGACGTCGTGTCCATGTTGCAGGAGGCCAGGCGCGGCCGGAAGCTCCTGCCCAAGAAGCAGCAAGCGCAACCAAAGATTAATTAGTAACGACCGCGTGTTACGTGTAGGTGTATTGTATTACTACTCACTAAACCGTGTACTTTGTCATGCAGTCAGCACTCGTGTCATGTATAATGCCTTAGATCACTGTATGAGTAAACTCCCGAGACTTTCGGATGATGTCATATTTCAAAGCCAGACCAAGTTGAAAATATTTTAATTTGAGAATTGCTATAGGGCAGTCGGTTGTTTTAGGCGCCCTCAACATGCGATTTCCAGGAGACGGAGGAGCAGAGGGCAGCGGCGTCGGCGCTTGGCTGAGGCAACGGTGTCGGTGGTGCTCGGCGCTTCCGGTCCCTCAGGCTCCTCCAGACCCCGTCAGGCCTACGCAGGTCATGGAAGGAAGGGTAAGGCTGGAGAGGATGGGTCCCACTGTAATTTGGGAATAATTTGTAATATTTTTAAAGATTTGTGAATAATTTGATATATATTTATCTGATATCTGCAATTCTTAGAAATAATTTATAATTTTTTTGAAAGATTTGGCATATATTTTCTCTGAGATCTGTAATTCATAGAAATAGAAGTTATGTTATCCCCAAATTATATCACTATATCTAATAAATTACATGAAGAAATTATTGTAAATATAATAATAAGATAGTATAAATCTATACTAAAAGACAGTATAAATGCATGAGAAAAATCAGTTGCGGAAGCTTCCAAAACATTTGCCAGGTAGACAAATCCTTTAATTTTCTTAAACCAGCTCGTCAATCAATGCTGTAGCACAACATTGGTTTCTTAAAATTTTCGTGGATAACTTCAATATGTATAACTAATCAACATTAATAATTTTCGTGGATAACTTCAATATGTATAACTAATCAACATTAATAATTATCTTTGGATCTGTCTATCTGGAACTCGGGTGATCTGTCCTATCACTCAAGTAATTTGAGTGGACAAATTACACTAGCGCAAAACAAACGAAAACAAAATTTGAGTGAAATAAAGCTTAGATTGACATAAAAAATATTTCAAAAAATAAATGCACGATGCAAAATAAATGTATTTTATTATGGACTTCATGAAAATCCCTCGTTTTCACTTGGTTTGCTACCAAAATTTACCAATCTCTCGTATTTTTCGATTATATAGTACAATCTGACGCGCACAAGCATACGCACACTCACCCCTATGAACACACGCATGCAAACCGTACCCCTATGAGCATCTTCAAGATCTGGGCCAACAAATCATCGAGATTGGCGAAGTCACCACATGAGTCTTGCTCTCGGCGGAGATGTTGCCTACCACCGAAAATACAAACGCCCGTTAAATCGTGTAAAATTAGCACCCATGGGGAGTTGAATTCAGGATGCGAGGTGCTACAGAGGCACTTGTAACCACTAGGCTACATGCCTTTTACCAAATCTATGGCAAATATTTTTGCGAAAAAAACTAATAATCGACCGCGCACGCCCCGGAGCTACGACATGCACACCTTGCCCGTCGTTCGATGCACGCATCCACAGTTCGTGGCCGTATGATGCGCCCGTGCCCGACCGTGTCAATTTCGGCGGCTAGGGTTCCGGCGGCGACGACTCGCACGCGGTAGGAGGTGGTAGAGCTAGAGCCAGAGATGGAGAAGATGTCGCCCAACTCCGGCGACCGCACCACTGCCACCCCAACCCTACCTTCTTCCCCAACTCCAGTGACCGCACCACCGTCGCCCCAACCCTAACTCTGATAGCCTTAGAAGAGAAGGGTTTGGGGGAGAAAGGCCGGCCAGGCGGTGGGGATGGCGGCAGGGCGGTTTAGTGGCCCTAGCGGCGGTGGAGGTGGCTAGTGAAAGCCCTAGTTTGGTTTTGGCTAATTGATGAAACCTATTGGACTAATCCTATCCTTAAGTGTGTAGATAAGATAGGTTGGTCCAAGTCCAAGGTGGAGCTAGAAGGCACTCAAGGTGATGGAGATGGCCACATATGATGATGATCAAGTGCTCCAACTTGGAAAGAAGAAAGAGAAAAACAAAAGAGGTCAAGGCAAAGGTATAAAAGCTAAGGACCATTTTGTTTTGCCAATCAAAACGCAATAGAGTGCGTGATTGGATTTAGGATAGATGGCCGTGCTATTAAGAGGGGGCTTTTATTGGACATTTCGGTCATCTAGTGCCACTAGGTTTTGGAAAACTATGCATTGCATATAGGCCTAGTACACAATGGAGAGCAAGCGAAAATGTTTATGGAAAACACTTTGAAATTGCTAACTTAACTTTAAACTTCTTTGAAAATTTGTTGGAGAGTTGCACGCTTGCAAAAGTGAGTTCAGCACTTTCGGTGCTATTTCTTGGGCTTGACATCGGACCGGCTAGCCCTATAGCTCGACCTCGCGCACCGTCTTTGAGTGGTACGGTGTTGTCCGTTGTACACCGGATAGGGCACCGGATAGGCCATTGATTACCTTTGGACGTGGCACCGCCGCACAAAGCAAGCAGAGGCGTTTTACGGAACTCGGCGCTGGAGTCACCGGAGATGGTGTGGCCGGCCAAGGCCACTCTCTTGCACCCCCATTCAGTTGAGCAAACCCTTTGCGAGCAAAGAAACACACTCCACTCACTTGTTCACTTGATTTCATCATTTGAGTGAGATTTGGAGAGCCTCTAGTTCATTGCTTAGTGGTCTTGTATCTTGTGGCACTAGTTGGATGATTTGGGCTGGTGGAATTCTTGTTACTCTTGGTGATTGCCGTCACCTAGCCGGCCCGGAGCTTGGAGGATTGATTGGAGGAGGTTGGTGATTGTCTCCTATCACAATCGTGGTGATTTGTGATGGGTTTTTGACCTTGTCCCCGTGGGAGATCGCAAAAGGTACTCTAGTGGATTGCTTGTGATGTTGAGTGCTTTCATTTGTGTTGGTTCTTACGGTGCCCAAGTGTTGGACTAGGCGTGGTGCCTATTAGCATGTGAACCACCAAGTGAATCGGCCGTCACAACGGGGACTAGCTTGCTGACATGCAAGTGAACCTCGGGATAAATCATTGTGTCAATTAGTTTTCTCGGTATTCTTGTGATTGACGCTTGCCCGGCTAGGTATAACAATCCCTATCTCATTGCATTACTTCTTTATTTGTACTTGTGTAGTTGTAGCTCTCTCTTGTGTAGTTAGTTAAGTAACTAGTAGTAACTAGTTAAGTAGCTAGTAGTAACTAGTTGTAGCTTGTCTCTTGCTAGCTCTCTAGTGGTAGAAGTTGTAACTTAGCCTCTTTGTGTGCCATAGAGATCGTATCCATTAGAACTTGGTAGGTGGCTTGCAACACTTTGTAGAGCTAGAGTAAAATTGCTTTTCACCTTTTATTTGTCTAACAATTTGCTCTAGTGCTTTGTAGAATTTTTAATTAGGCTATTCACCCCCTCTAGCCATTTAGGACCTTTTAGCTGGGCCAGGTCGGGGTGGGGGTGCCATGGCTGGAGCTCACAACGGCATGCAAAGGGGGAGGGGAAGAAGGAGGTCGTCGCTAGCTCCAACGAGACCCCTATGAAAGGCCTAGTTTGGTTTTAGATAATTGATGAGACCTTAGTGTACTAACCTTTGCTCTAAGTGTATATGAGATAAGTTTGTATACTCCAAGTGGTGGAGCTACAAGGCACTCAAGTGAATAAGGTGGCCTAGTTGATGGTGATCAAGTGCTCCAGCTTGGAAAAAAGAAGAAAAAAAAAAACAAAATGGGCTCAAGGCAAAGGTATATTTGATAGATCCATTTTGTTATGCCAGTCAAGACACTATAGAGAGTGTGATCGGGTTTAAGATAGATAGCCGTAATATAAAGAGAGGAAAATCATGGTAATTGCGATTATCAAGTGCCACTAGGTGATGTCATTCATGTATATGCATTAGGACCTAGTGTGTGCTAACTTGACCCTTTAAAATGCTTTGAAAAATGGTCACACATTGCACAACTGTTGAGACACATTGGTGTTAGCATATGAAAGTAAGGGTGGAAGAAAGGAGTTGAAAAGGAGGCGTATCAGGGCATTGGACCCAGACTTGGGAGGGTAAGAACCATGGCGTGAGGGTCCGGTACCTAACGCTAAGTGAGGGCTCTTGATGGCGCAAAACTCTGGACCTTGCTCGGGTAGGAGTCCGAACCAATGTGCTTGGGTTCAACGGTGACACATGACGCGAGGAGTAACAGCGAGAGCTGATGAGGGAGGTTCAAACCCTATAGCATGGTCCAGACATCAGTGGCGGACTCGGTCCGGACGCAAAAATGCGTTCTAGAACCTCTCTAGAAGTGTCCGAACTCCACTACGCGTTGGTCCAGACTGGCACTGTTGGAGTCTGGAGGTTGAGTCCGGAGCACGTGTCAGTAGCCATTGTGCGCAACAATGGTTGTCTAGATTAAACGAGGACACATGGCAATTGCTCAGTGGGCGTGGAAGTGAATCGGACCCTAGGTTCTTGGTTCAGAGCCGCTGTGCTCTCGAGTCCGGAGGTCAGTCCGGAGGCTGCCAACGGCTAGTTTCACATGTGGCAGCGCGAGATTGAAAGCAAGGAGGGTCCGGACCCTGGGTGCATGGACCGGAGGCCCCGACGCCGGGTTCAGAGGTCGGGTTCGACGATGTTTCATGGAGGTAACGACTAGCTAGTTGAGCTTTGGGGCTCTATAAATTGATGTTGGCTGGCTCTAGCTGACTCTCTTGGACATTTTGATCATCCATACATCCTTGTGAGCTAAAGCAAACCTCTCCCACTCATTTCCTTGCTTGATTGTGCATCCAAAGTGAGATTGAGTGATTCCAAGTGTATTTGCTTGAGTGATTGCATCTAGTGGCACTTGGGGATCGTTTTCGCTGTGGTTTTCTTGTTACTCTTGGTGGTTGCTATGGCAGAACCGCCCGAAATAGCACACTTCCGGAGGCGCTCGTCTTCCACTAGATACTAAGCACCTCGAAAGTTGACTACATCGGACAGTTCCGTCGAGCACACCCCAAGAGAGAACTCGAACAATCCACGTTTTTCACCCAGGATCCAATAATGAGA